GGATCATTCTATCCATGGCCATTACTCATCAATGGCTAATCAAACAACTGGATGTTAATAATTCTTTCTTAAATGGACTCCTTTGAAGTCTATATGGAGCAACCTCAGGGGTTTGTAAGTTATAATCCTTCATTTGTGTGAAAATTCACAAGACTCTTTATGGCATCAAACAATCCCTTAGAAAATGATTTGAGAGACTTCAAGCTGCCTTACTCAATCTTCATTTCAAGTCAAGCAAGTGTGATACATCTTTCTTCACATACTTCTTCAATGGTCACACTATTTATCTCCTAGTGTATTAGGATGACATAATTCTGATTGGCAATTCCATGACTTTGCTCAAAGTTGCTATCACTAAGTCAAATTGTGTCTCTTCACTCAAGTATCTTAGTGATCTAGATTATTTTCTAGGTATTGAGGTTAAGAAATCTTCTCATGGATTTCTTCTTCTTAGTCAATCCAAATACATCAGGGATTTTCTTTTGAAAACAAAAATTATTGAATCTTGCCTTTCCAACACTCCTAAGCAATCAACTTGCAAGTTAACTAAAATAGGTTTGCTGCATTATCTAGTCCTTTCCTGTGCAGGTCAATTGTAGATGTCTTGTAACATGTAACCATTATCAGACCTAACATTGCGTATGCAGTCAACAAGATCTGCAATTAATGTCACATCCTCTGACACTCATTGGGTTACAGTGAAGAGAATTCTAAGGCACCTCATAGGTACTATAAAGCATGGCTTACATCTCCCCTTCTTTTACCTAGTACATACCCATCCTTACAAGTCTTTTATGATGATGAATGGGCTTCTAATCGAGATGATAAAAGAAGTACATATGGGGAAACAATTTATTTTGGCAACAACCTCATCTCACAGTGGTCCAAAAATCAGCATGTAGTAGCCAAGTATGGTACTGAAGTAGTGTACATGAGTTTGGCTCAAGTAACTGCTGATTTTCTTTAGATACAAACTCTCCATCAAGAGTTTGGAATTGTCACTAAGACTTCTATCATCCTCTATGACAACCAGTCAATTGTTATGTTTGCACACAATCCTATTATGAACTCCAGAATAAAATACAGAGATTGATTTGTTCTTTGGTAGAGAGAAGCTCTGGCAAAGAAACTCCAAGTCGTTCACAGTCATGGAAGTGATCAACTAGAAGATGTGCTTATTAAGAGTCCCTAACATCTATTAAATTTCTTGAACAAAGGCACAAACTCATGGTTGTTCAATTCCATGAGTTTGGTAAGGGAAGGGTATTAGTGGCATGTTAGGATAACTAGTTAAGATCAATTATACCTGCTAAGATTGACAGGTCTCAGCTTAATATGTATCTTACTTGCTACAACATTTCAATTGGTTGTACTATAAATGCAACAAGTTGCTCACTCTTTGTAACTAACAAAAAATTCAATCAATAAAAAGTTAGTTATAACTAAAACGAACAACACAATTATCAATTCTATCAAGCCTCAAAAGAGTTTATATAAAGTGATATTTTTCATCTAAAAACGATTTTGTAAGAATGAGTTAGACCAACTCAAATTTTAATGTGATATCATAGTATATTGTTCGGACTATGACTCAGTCGTTGTTTATATTCACGCACCAAACCCAGTAAAAAGGTGTGTTGAGAATATATCAAATTCTACATTGGTTAGATAAAAAACTTTTAAAGAATTTATATAAAGTGAGATCCCTCACTTCAAAAGTCGATGTTGTATAAATTTATAAAAAACTCTAATTTTAATATTTACATTACAAATAGAAAAAGTTCTTCTCTTTTTCTTTCTAAATACCAAAGTAGTGTTTATGATCCAAAATATATTGACAATAAGAAACAAGTGTTCTTCAAATTACGTTAAATTTTGTGTTTTAACACTAATAGCAATGTTTTGAGCAAAAGATACTAAGTTTTAGGTGTGTGAAAAATTGGTTAACAGGACATAGAAAAAACAAAGACAAGACAAAAATGTTAGGATTTGTTGAAAGAAAATGTATCCATCATTGAAGGAGACCATTGTCTATGTTATAACTAGTCACTAAAAGTCTAAATAGAGACTCACACTCTTTCATTGCTTAATGCTTAGCCACTAAGAGTTAACATTTTAGTTTGTCTAAACATAAAAATAAATAAAATAATTTCAACTAAAAGATATGTAAAAAAAAATGGACAGGATCTCCTATTTTGAAAACAAGCATATTAGTTATTGTTTGACTGTTTTTGTATCTCTATGTTTGAATATTTTAAGAATGTAAATACTAATGGATGCAGGCTCTTATCCTATTATACTCCAAACCATAATACTTTAAGATTTTCTATTTGGTCTCTTGTACTTTGGACCTTTGTCTAAAAGAATGACAACAGAGTAGAACCCAACAAAGAAAACGATGATTGGGACTTCATTTTTTATTGTTTCATTAAATATTGATCCACTTGAAATTAAACTATAATTCAATAAATTACGTAGGTTGATTGATGTTAAGATTAAAAGGTAACAGTAAGAGTATCTAACTTTACCAACTTCCATAAAGGTTTAAATTAAAACTAGAGATTAGGTATATGAACTTGAACTTAATTGGCTTATCATATGGTTGTCACAGGTTTCGCCTATTTAATGAAAAACTATTTTTTTAAAATTATTATTTAGATTTAGATATATAGAATCCTCTTATCACTATCATAAGAAACAAAACAATTTTTTTTTATTCATTGAAACCATTGAAATATCTGATATATAATAATAATTAAATATATAAATTTTTCAATAAATTAAAAAAATATTTTGTTAATTATAATAATAACCAGATAAATAAAAAATATGTGATATTTTATTTTCTTATTATAAATAATTTTTAATTTATTTTTTATTGAATAACTGATATATGTATCCGTTTTATTTATATTTTTTTATTAAAAAGACTAAGATTTTAAATTTGTATCTTTTAATATGTTTGTTTTACTTTATTTTATTTTTATTTTTCTAGATGCAGCTTTTAATATATTTTTTTATAATTTTTAAATTTACTTTGCATTATTTTTTTTTTAGAGTGAAACAAGATTTTAGATGTTGATCTTCAATTATACTTGTCTTGTCCATTCTTTTTTTATTTTCATTTTTGCAGGACAGGATTAAATGTGTCTATTTATCACTCCTAAATTTATATATAGACTAAATCTATTATTCAAACTAAATTCATATAAATTATTTTATGAAGATTGAAATTATATACAATTAAATTTTATTATGAGCAAACTCATTTATATTTTTATTTAAGAGTGTGTATATATCCATTTAGATATTAATTAACCTCTAAACTATTTATGACTCTGTAATTACTTAACTATTAATTAATCTCTTATCAAGTATGAGTCAAAAGAAAACTGTATTTATGTTTATGATGTCATTATGACACTCTCCTTTTATACCTATTGGTTGGCAATAAAAAACTTCATCAATAAAAATAAAGATTTAGAGAGAGAAGAAAAAGAAATAGAATTATAAAAATAAAACATTGTTTGCTAAAATAATAATTAAAAAATTCAAATAATAATACTATTAACTATCCCTATCAAAAGACCTCATAATTCCCCAAAAGCACATATTTCACTTTATTCCATTCCATGGTAATATCTCAAAAAAATCCACTTGAAAGTGATTAAATTTTAATCCACGGTCTAAAATTAACCTGTCTTTTAAGAAAAAGTAACAGCCCTGTGAAGTTATCAAATTCCACCCTGTTTCTAAAAAAATTCTGTTTCATTTGTTTATCTATAGTGGTTGGATTAGGTCTTTTCTTGAGTCTTTTGATTGTGACTTGTTTTATTCATATTATTAAATGACCAAATTACCCTTTGGTTATGATTGTGACTTTTTAGAGCAAAATCAACACAAAAAGCTATAGTCATAAGCCAATTACTCTTTGCATGCAAGAATTGAAAGTGATAACAGAACAGAATAAGCTGTTTTAAAACAAGTCAGCCAAACACAGCAAAGAGAGTTTCAGAATCATTTTTTTGCTTTTTTCATGTCAGTGTAACCCTTTAAATTGTACTCCTCACTCTGAAACCTCCACTGAATTTCAGACATAATATCAGGTGTTTTTTTTTTCTTCAAAAAATAATATTAAAACCAACTCAAAAATTTAATTTCAGTTTAATTAATAAAAATAATAATTAATTAATTAAATAAACTTCATATTTCATTAACCAATGCTTGTTATTCTTTCATGCATTTACTTGAATTTCAGTTTATTGTCCTTTTTTGAATTTTGAAATTTATGTGGGGTTTGCATGATGAGCAAATATTTGTCTAGAAGTGAGTAAGAAGATACTACAAGAGAGAGAAAGTTTTAGAGAGAGAAAGTTAGAGAGAGAAAGGGGGGTGTAGTAGTAGTACTAGTAGCTGTTTCATGGTGCTTTCAACTTTCTATGTCGTTTTATGACTAAGGATTGGGTCCACCGACCGTAGGGATTACCCTCTCTCACTCTTTCTCTTTCTCTCTAAAATATTTATATATATATTTTTTTTTTCATTTTTGAGAAAATATAAAATAATTTATTTATGACAAAGAGAGAGATGAAAAAGTGAGGAAAATCTGGAAAACTTTTTGAAGAGGAAAAAAAGGCAGAGAATAATAATAAAGAGGGAAGAAAAAAACATGTTACGGGTATTTGTGTTGATGTATTTGCATGACACCAAATCTTCAATGAAAAAATCAGTTCAAGTTTCTTCTCATTTAAATCATCAGAAACATTTCAAGCAAGAAATGGCTTGATTTTGATTTGCTTTTTCATCTTCTATAAATATCTCTCTATATTGTTGTTTAGTTTGTTCTATATTTCAACCGATTTTATTTTTTTGAGTTTTGTGATGAATTGAAGAGGATTCAATTTGCATGTTGGATTTTTGAGAATTGTGATTGTGCTGTAAGGTTAGAGAAGTAAGAGAATTAGTTTACTGATTGTTGAAGAAGGTTGTTATATATAGATATGGCTGCTTCATCTTCCTCGGCGTCGCTTTTTGGATTCAGAGAAGAGGATCCAAATCAAATGAATCAACAGCAACATTCTTTGCCACCATCATCTGCAACTGCAGCTCCAGCTGCTGCTGCTGCTACAGCTCAGAAGAAAAAGAGAAACCAACCTGGAACACCAAGCAAGTTTCTAAACTATTTTATTAATTTCATTTATATCTTATATAATTAGTCTCTGATTGCATGTTTGGATTCGCAGTATAAGATTGACAGAATCACATTGAACCAATCTAATACAAAACTAAGGCTGGTGTCAGTGTGATTCTGCTAAACTGCGGATCCATACTTACACTAAAGAATTTTCATTCAACAAGATACATTTTTTATTTAAAAATTCCTTTGATGGATTTTACCTATTTGAGTATTTTCATTAATTCTACCAGTGTTTTTTCGGACTATTTTTTGTGTGATTGTTTTTTGTTTTCATTTGAGATGAATTCCCTAGGGTGGAACCCTAATTTAAAAACATAAATGTAAAATGAAATGAAATTCGATGTCAATTTGTTTGACATGGAAATCAACCTTTGTCTTGACTCTTGAAGCTTCATTTTCTCAATTAATTTTTATTTTGTGTTTGTGTGTTTTTGAATTTTTGTAATAGTTTATTGTTTGGCTATTTTCAATGGAAACAGATCCAGATGCAGAGGTGATAGCACTATCTCCCAAGACCCTAATGGCAACAAACAGGTTTATCTGTGAGGTATGCAACAAAGGGTTCCAAAGAGAGCAAAACCTACAGCTCCACAGAAGAGGACACAACTTGCCTTGGAAGCTTAAGCAGAAGACAACAAAAGAGCCTAAGAGAAAGGTTTATCTCTGTCCTGAGCCTACATGTGTTCATCATGACCCTTCAAGAGCACTCGGTGACCTCACCGGAATCAAGAAACACTTCTCTCGCAAACACGGCGAGAAGAAATGGAAGTGTGATAAGTGTTCTAAGAAATACGCTGTTCAATCTGATTGGAAAGCACATTCCAAAACTTGTGGCACAAGAGAATATAGGTGCGACTGCGGTACTCTCTTCTCCAGGTAACATATTACAAATTCACATATACTAATACTATAGTTCATGTTAATACAGATGAATCGAAGTAACAAGGGCTGAATTTCAATCAGTATCATTTTGATGTCATGCTATTATTTTAGGGCATATTATTTATGTTAGATTCTTCAACTGACTATAGAGAGGAAAAAGACTAAGATGCTTTTCAATATTATCTACTGAATTTGGTTGGTAATAATGATATTTTTTTACATTTGACAGCAATAGCAATAGATTGAATAAGATTCTTTGGTTTTGGTATGTTTTGGTTTGTCATGTTTCAATTTTTGTGTATATTTTGGTGGGCAAATGAAATGGATGGAAACATCTACCCACGTGAATGATCTCAGAAATTTTTTCTTCAGAAACAAAAAACACACACGGAGGAAAGAACGACCACCTTAGAATTATGCAATTCTTTCTTTCTCTCTCCTTGTCAAAAAGGATATTATGGAAAAAACACTTCACCTTTTTTTTCTGAATTTTTCTTGAAAACTGTGCAGTTTTTTTTAGCCCATTTCTTTTTCTTCCTATTCACGTGTTGCTATGGCATGAAGCTGTGTGGTGTTGTTACAGTCTTTGTTTTCTTCTTGGTTGGCTACTTGTGTTTGTGTTCAGTACACTGACTCTTGCAGGTGCTCCTTTTCATGATAACCTTACGACTAAATCAAAATTTTCAACTCTCCCAATCTTATATTTCATGTGCATTTTTATAAACGCAACAATGTTAAATTTTTTATTAAAATTCTCATATGTTTGAAACATTAATTTCTGCAATTGATCTTTTTACCAGAACAAAAATTATGTTTTATTTATTGAACACTGATGAGTCTTATAATCCAGTTTTGGTTGTGAAATTAATATCATTTCACTTAATTGTGCTTTTTAGGAAGTTTTTTTAGTTATACCTTTTAAACATTTGTAGAGGTATTCAAATTATCATTTTGTCTAACTATACTCTTTTTAATAAATACACGCAAATTTTTGTCCACTCGTTAATTAGTTAAATAAGTATCACATTCTTTCATTTTGATGTTAATTATTTTTTACTCTTAATTAAGAGTTTTATTGTCTTTTACTTGAAAAGGTCAAGTTTCACTTCTAGTAATTTATGTATAATTCAGGATACGTACATGACAGCTTTTACATGCTACTTTCATATTTACAGTGTCTATGGCAAATTCCGTCTTAAACTCCCTCTCTTTCTATATATATATATATATAGAAATATTAGCTCCTATTATATTCTCTTTTCTTTTATAATTATTAACTACCGAGAAATTTATAATTATTTCTAATTTTTGAATTTTTTAATTGTGATTGAATTGGAGTGGTTAATAATTTTTTAATGCAATGCAGGAGAGACAGTTTCATAACTCACAGAGCCTTCTGTGATGCATTGGCTCAAGAGGGTCCAAGACAGCCACCAATAACCCTAACAGGTGCCATTGGGTCCCATCTTTTCGGAAGTGGCGGCAGCGGCGGAGGTGGCGGCAACAACAACAGCATGGATTTAAACTTATCCCAAGTTGCTCCACAAATGTCCAACATGCAACATCAACATGACCATCACAGCAATTCAGCCACTGAAATTCTGCGACTCGGTGCGGCCGCGAGTCGAACCGGACAATTCGACCACCACAACATTCTCCAATCCACTTTCAGACCTAATTCCTTCTTCAACAATAGCATTCATGAGCCAAACCAAAACTATATCCCTGACCAAGGATTAATGATGCAGCAGAATAACAACAGCGGCAACAGCAACAATCTCTTCAACATTCCGAATTTCCTTTCGAGTAACAGTACTACTAATACTAACAGTAGCAACAACTCATTCTCTGAGCACTTGAATATGAATAATGAAGGGACGAATTTCTTCACTGGATCAGGTGGAACAAGTAGTGCTCCGTCACTCTTCAGCAACTGTTTCCCTCAGGGAGGTGGAAACAGTAGCAACAACAACATTAACGCTGTTACTTCTATATCTTCAATGTCAGCAACTGCACTTCTTCAGATAGCTGCTCAAATGGGTGCAACTTCAAGCAATGGAAACGGTACTACCGCAACTTCGCTTCTGAAGAACTTCGGAAACAACACTCCTGCTACTAATTCAGCTTCTTCCGGTGGTGTTGGTGTTGGTGCTGGTGCCAGTGCTGGTGTTGGTGAGCATAATAGAGTTCTGCAGATGGGAGGTGGAAGTGTAAACTATGGTTTTGGTGGTGCGAATAACGAACAGACTAATTTACAGGATTTGATGAACTCTTTTGCTGCTACTGGAAATACTTCAATATTTGAAACTGGAAGAGGAGGTTTAGGGCTTGGAAGTGGAGGTGCAGATAGCAGTCAACTAACTCGTGACTTTTTAGGAGTTGGTGAGATAGTAAGAAACATGAGTGGTGTTGTTGGAGGACAAAGGGAACAACAACAGAATCATCAACATCAACATCAACATGCAGCAACTGCATTTAACTTGCCAAGTTCAATGGAAGGAGATCAAAGAAACATTCATGCTGCACAATCCTTTGGAGGTGGAGGAAGAGGAGGAGCCGGTGGTGGAACAGGAGCAGGAAATTTTCACTAATCATTACTATCAATCATCCTTCATAAAGAGGTACGTACCCCAAATAGTCAACACTCAATTTCAATTTTCTATAGCAACCTAAAATTATATGATACTATATTCCTTCAAGTCAAAAATCTTAATTTTTACGTTCATTTAATTTAACTGCTACATATCAGTTAAATTTTCTCTTCCATCCTGTTAATAAACCGTATTAATAAAGATACATTTTTGAAAAAATAAAGATTTTTTTTTAAACAAAACTTATAGGAGTAGTTATTTAAGTAGGTATATAGAAGAAAGATGCTATAATAAAATAATTTGTTTTTAGTGTTAAAAAAGTGTGTGTGTGGTCTGACGAGTTGTCTTGCATGGTGTAGACAGCGACGTTGTGCAGAACTAATTTGTTTCTTCTATTGTCTTCTCCTTTTCATTTTTTCCACTTTGTTATTTTGGTTGGCTGGCACATCCACAGTGAGTCACGAGTGCCAAAACTTTTTTCTGAACAAATTATTTCTTCTCTTATCAACATGTTTCTTTCTTGCCATGTCACAGAATGTGCTTCAATTAATTTATTATAGTTTTATTTATTATAAAATTATTTTCAATATTTTACTATCTCTTTTCTTACAATTTGTATTAGGCACGTATCTGTTCATGTGTGTTGTTTTTCTTTTCTCTACAACTTAGGTCAATTATTTAGATTGGTATGTATGGTATCATCATACACGTTTTTAACTGCATTCTGTTGTACTATTTTTTTAATATCATTATGTTTGTTCTTTATATCAAATAATATTCCATGAGTACAGAGTACTTATTAGTCATTTTTCTTAATATGCATACATAGAATTTTTTTAATTATATAAGTGATGTTTGCTTAAATAAAGTAACGATTTAATTTTTGCAGGGTTTTCAACATGCTCCATTGGAACTTGATCTAATTAGATTTTGAGAGTACTGTGAAGAATATGTGGAAATTCCTGAATTTTATTGAAGCTTCTTCAAACTCCATCGAACCCCATCCCCAAAAAAAAAATTTCTGATACTTATTAGCTTCAAGATTTTTATGGTTTATTTAATAGATTTTGTTATTTGGTAATTGATATTTATCGTATATTAAGTGCGACTATAAACCAGTTATAATTTTTTTTTTATATATAATATAGACCAGTTATGACTTACTTTCATATCTTTTTGGTTTTTATCTATATGCATAAATGTGTATATATAGCTTCAGAATGAGATGAGTTTATTATTAGGTTAGAAGAAGTCATGGTAATGGCTGTTTCAATAATGATGATATAAATTATAGTTTTTTTATATAAGCAATTATTGATAAATTGTTTTGTGGTGATTTATTTTTGAATGGTCATGATTGATGTATAATGTTTAATGAGAGATTTCGACTCTCACTCGTTTAACTGTATAATCATTGTCTTATTATAAAGTTAATGTAGCTGTGAAATCGAGTGACTCTAACCTTGCTATGGAGAAGAATGCAAGTGAGACCGAATGATCTAGGTTTTGGCTAAAAGTTGAATGAGTTTGGTACTTTTCGAAAATGGTGGCTTTCTCTTAACAAGTGTTATCAGACAAGTTCTCTTCTAGAAAAATCTTCTTAGGCGTAGAGTCTTAGTCCATCTCAATGGGATGACGTGACACTACTACAAAACATGCAAACAATAACGCTTAAGTCACCACTTAAAGGATACACCGTGGTAGAATCTATTAAATCAAATACGTTTTTTTATTTTCATATTTAAGTCACTTTTGATCACGGTTAGAAGTTCCAACCGTGGTAAAAAGTGACACATGGTTATGAGTTTGAATCTTGATATTGTTGTTATTCTACTGTTGCATTTTTTATATTTTATTAAAAGACGTACAACAACAGTTATTTAATACAACCGTTGTTGTATGTAGCGCACATGGTCATTAGTTCGAAACTTGTTGTTGCTGCTTTTGTTAGGTGTATAATTCTTGTTTTGTCGAAATGTTTGTGTGGTGTATGTCGAATAACTTTTGTATAGGTTATAAGTTGTATTCGACAGAGTCGAATACAATAGATATTACAGTCTGTCGAAATCATATTTTGGGCTTTAACATTTTTGTCTAATTGGGCCTGAGCATTGTTTGCTTATATAAAGGGCTCCTGAGTTTGTAATTAACAAGTGAGAAAGCAATCAAAATAAAAAACTCTCAATTCTCTCTCTTGTCTCTTCTTCTTCTTCTTCTTCTTCTTCTTCTTCTTCTTCTTCTTCTTCTTCTTCTTCTCTTCCATAAATCATCTTTCTTAAAAATCCTTTGTTCCAACAAATTGGTATAACAGAGCTCTGTTGTGATTCAGAGAGAATCTAATGGCAAACAGAACAACAACATAGTTTCCAGCGAATATACCGGTTTTCAAAAGTGAAAACTATCAGTGGTGGGTTACGCAAATGAAGGTTGTTTTCAGATTTCAAGATGTTGTTGAAATCTTGAATGATTGAGTATCAAAACTAAAAGAAAATGTGACGGAAGCCCAGAAAACCGCGCACAAAGATCAAAGAAAGAAAGATGGTAAATCACTGTTCTTGTTTCACCAGTGTGTGGATTTTGATGTATTTGTGAAAATAATTAAAGAAGAAACAGCAAAATGAGCTTGGGAAAAGCTAAAAAAATTGTATGGTGGAGATGAGAAATTGAAGAAGGTGAAGTTGTAGACACTAAGGAATCAATATGAGATGCTTCAGATGAAAGAAGATGAATCAATCTCTGCATATTTCTCAAGAGTTGTGATGCTAACAAACCAGATGAAGGCATGTGGTGAATCAATTACGGATCTGCAGAAGATAGAAAAGGTGTTGAGATCTTTAATTGCAGATTTTGACTATATTATTGTGACAATTGAAGAGGCCAAGAATCTATCTGAGATAAAGTTGGAAGAACTTCAAGCTTCATTGGAGGCTCATGAAATAAGGTTGAAACAGAGAAACTCAGAAAGAGAGAAGGTGACTGAACAGGAATTGCAATCAAGATTCAGTAAGAAAGATGGAAAAGAGAAGTCGAAGCAGCGAAAGAATCTTGCTAGTGATGAGAAGTCAAGCAAGAATACTGATTCGATCAAGAAAGGTATGAGCAACAAGTATTTTAGGAAGAAAGTTGACATGAAAGAGGTGCAATATTACAATTGTCAAGGTTTTGGTTACTATGCTAGAGACTGTCGAAGAAAGAAAGCTGTGAGGGCGAAAGATAATGATGAAGCTCAATATGCACGAGCTGGAGATAGTGATTTAGATGATGTATTGTTGATGGTGAGTACTCAATCAAACACTGAAAAAAATAACATGTGGTATTTGGATTCAGGATGAAGCAACCACATGACTGGCAATAAAAACTGGTTTACCAAGTTAGATGAGTCAGTCGAAAAGGTGATAAAGTTTGCAGATGGAAGGCACATCAAATCAGGTGGTAAAGGAGATATTTTGATTGTCAGGAAGAATGGTTGAAAAGCTACTATCATTGAAGTACTATATGTACCTTATATGACAAGTAACTTAATAAGTGTAGGTCAATTACTTGCAAAAGGCTTGAATATGAAGCTAGAGAAAAATCAGATGAAGGTATATAGGACTGATGAGAGGCTAATAATGAAAGCACCTTTGGCAGATAAAAAAATATTCAAAGTTGAAATCAACACATCATATCACAAATGTCTTGCTTCAACTACAGAAGAAGACAAAAATTGACTATGACATCGCAGGTATGGATATCTAAACTTCAAAAGTTTATGCATGCTCAATGAGAAAAGGATGATGCTTGGGTTGTCGTATGTAAAGGAACCAAAGCAGGTATGCGAGGAATGTTGCAAAGTAAAACAGGCAAGGAAGGCGTTCAAATATGACTTACCCTTAAAATCAAAGCAAAAAATAGAGCTGGTTCATTCTGATGTGTGTAGACCCTTTGAAGTAAAGTTAAATGGAGGTAACAGGTATTTCGTTACTTTCATTGATGAATTCACCAGACATATGTAGATTTACCTTATTGAAAGGAAGAGTGAGGTATTCACACAGTTCAAGAAGTTTAAGTTGTATGCTGAGAAAGAAAGTGGCTCTAAATTGAAGAAGTTAAGAATTGATGGTGGCAGTGAATATACTTCTGCCAAATTTTCTAGATTTTGCAATGAGGAAGGTATAGATCATGAGGTTATTTTACCCTATACGTCAGCATAATGGAATAGATGAGAAAGAATATAAGTATACTGAACATGACGAGAAGTATGTTGAAAGCTAAAGATATGCCTAAGAGATTTTGGGATGAAGCAGCTTCGATAATAGTGTATATTCTAAATATATGTCCAACGAAGAAGATGGTCGAAAAGACACCGCATGAGGCTTGGACAGGGTCGAAGCCAAATGTGAGTCATCTTAGAGTTTTTGGATCAATGTGCTTCAGGAATGTACCTGAACAATTGAGAAAGAAGCTGGATGATCAAAGTGAAGTCATGGTGCTCATAATTTATCATTTGACTAGTGCATACAAGTTGTATTTTCCAAACAAAGATAAACTAGTAGTCAGTCGAGGTGTTCTTATAGACAAAAGCAAAGGGTGAGACTGTAGTCAAAGTTTAGTTCGATAAGAATCAAACATAGTTACAACTGTGTTCGACGAAGATGAACAGAACGAAGCTTCGACAAGTCAAAATGAACAAGGTGATACTTCAACCAGTTAAAAGGAAGAACCACATGTGCAGAATGAAAGAAGGTCGATAAGAACAAGAATTGAGTCGACCAGGCTAACTGAATATGAAAGTTTTCCAGATCAAGCAGTCGATGTGGATGGTGACTTAATCGAAGAAGCCATGATAATGGATGAAGCAGAACCAATTGACTTGGGTGAAGCCTTGATCAATTAGAATTGGTGTGAAGCCATAAAAGAAGAACTTAGAGCTATTGAGAAGAACAAGACCTGGGAGCTTGTCGAAAGAACCAACAAGAAACTAATCGATGTAAAATGGATTTACAAGGTGAAACGAAGGCCAAATGGTGAGATCGTGAAGTATAAATCAAGATTGGTTGCCAGAGGTTTTCTATAAAAACCTGTTATTACGAAGTATACGCGCCTGTTGCAAGGCTAGAAACAATCAAAATTGTTGTTTCGACAACAACATATAGACGATGGAAAATGCACCAATTAGATGTAAACTCAGCATTTTTGAATGGTCCATTGGAAGAAGAAGTCTATGTTACTCAACCACCAAGATTCGACGTCAAAGGGAAGGGGTCAAAAGTATATAGATTAAGGAAGGCTCTCTATGGTTTGAAGAAAGCTCCTAGAACTTGGAATAAGAGGATACATAGCCTCCTGATCGAAGCAGGTTTCACAAAGTGTGTCTCTGAACATAAAGTGTATGTAAATGATATCAACAGTGTTAGTCAAATCATTTTATGCCTCTATGTTGATGACTTACTCATTACAGGAGAAGACGAAGCTGAGATATTGAAGGTAAAGTCGAAATTAATACAGGAATTTGAAATGTCTGACTTAGGGAATCTCTCATATTTCCTAGGGATGGAATTTAAAGACATTGAAGAAGGAGTATTCTTGCACCAAATGAAGTATGCTCAAAATATTTTGAAGAGGTTTAAAACAAGCAACTGTAATAAAGTTTTCACTCCGTTAGAAACTAGATCAAAGTTGAAAAAGGAAACAAATGATGAGTTTATAAGTTCGACCCTTTACAAACAAATCATTCGATCCTTGAGATATCTCTGCAATACTAGACCAGATATCTACCAAAGTGTAGGATTGTTGAGTAGATTTATGGAGAAACCACAAGAATGTCATCTCATCACAGTAAAGAGGGTGTTGAGATACATAAATGGAACTATTGATCATGGTGTGTTGTTACCAAAGAAGTCGAAGAACATCACATATATCGAAGTTCATGGATACACTGCCT